AAGTTCTTATACAAATTATAATTTCTGCTTTCGTGTTAAACATTGCGACTAGATAATATTTCAGCATGATTTTGTTTGAGTGACTGACTTAGCACTGTCTTAGACTAGTTAATAGATCAGTGAAAGAACTTGGTGCAAAAATTAAACCAAACAGAAGTAAAAGACACAAAATATTGTTTACCCAGTTTGATACAACGCTATCTACGTCTGGGGGACCACCATCAGTGAGTCCAATCCACTATCTCAACAGCAAATCAAACAGACGGTAAGAGAAAACCTTCTCACCCATTGTGTGTTACACAGCAAAAGGTAATACCCAATCTTTTGAAAGCTATAAAAGATTGTCGAGCTCGGAGATTCGTGCTTCAGCGTCTAAAGTCCCTTTGGAGATCCGTGATGTCGTTGTCTGTCTCGCTGATCCACTCACCACTGCACCACAATTGTATAGAATACGGTCTAATGTGATAAGCTTAATTTATAGGCATTATTTATATTAATTTTAGTGAGTGATTTGCATAAATAAATTAAGTTTTAGGGTTAATTATATTATAAATATTATATTTAGTTATATGTTACTAGTTTAGACTAATTTAGAAGGATTTTAATAAATATTAGACTAATGTTGCATTTTTATTAATATATTAATAAGAGTTTTATTTTATCTATAGTATTAAATTTACTTAGTAGTTTTATATCTTCAATTTTTAAATAGTGCTTTAATACTTAAGTTTAATTAAGTTAATTATGTCATCAGGATATAATTGTTTTGCTTTTAATTAAATTTGCTTTCTTTTGTTTCTGTTAGGGTTTTGCGCAGCAGTAAGGAGAGAAAAATAAAGGGATTAATTAAGGCTTGGGTTTGTAGCATTGGGGGAGACGGCAAAGAATAGATACAGACGAAACGGAAAGAAAAAGAATAGAGGAGTACGGAAGCTGGGGAGCGGCGGCGACTTCGGCGAGGAGACTTCATCGCAGGGGATTCCTGAGCTTCGATCGCAGCTATCATCTTTTTAGGCTTGAATTATTTCTCTTTATCCTTATTTTTATTTCTTGTTAAAATTTCCAGAATGCTATTTCTTGAACATGCAAATATGATTATTGGCTAGAACTTTAATTAGGGATTTGGATTAGCCTAGATTAGATTAATTGACCATTTTTCATGTGTTGATTCTTCCAATTTCAGTTTAATAATTGAACTTGATTATATTTATTTTATGTATTTTAATTGTGGATTGTGTGACTGGCCATTGCATAATTCTAATATTAGGGTTCATAAGAAGAACTGATAGGTGAATTATGAACCTAGAACTCGTAAGATAAACACAATTGACCTAAACTAGACATAGCTCTAGGTATTTGTGGTGATATTTGATTGTTGCTTAATGGGTTCAATTAATGTTGGTGAGATATCGACGGATGATCACAGTTAATTGGATACAACCTAGTAGCTCGACGGAGGTAGGATATATTTGAAGCAATCATCACTATAGTCATAAGAATTAATACTTAAGAGAGTTAGTTACTTATCTAATAGGTGAAACCAAATCCATAGTCTTCTCTCAATTGGAATTTTCTTTGCTTTAAATTCATAAATATACTTTTTAATTATTAGTTCTATTTATTTGCATTTTTCCATATCAACATGTTAGGAATAAAGTGTAATGATTTTGATATGCCAAATTTGTATTTGTAGATCTCCCAATTTTATTTTATAGGTCTAGTAGAGTCTTTGACCATGATCGGGAAATTATTTAATTATGAAAAGAGAAAAACAGAGGAAGATGGATGAAAATAGATGAAGAAGATATAAAGCCGAAAATCAAGAATTTGTCTGGAGAAAATGACAAATTGAAGAAGAAGATGAATGATACAATAATTCACGTCAATGCTACTCAAAGAAGATATCCCAGAAGAATTTTTCGTGAAGAAAATTAATGTTGGAAGAATGCCTGAAATTGACTTGAAGATCAAGCATCTATGGAAAGAAAGGAGTACATCAAATATGATTGGAGATTTAATCAAAAGTTGTACGAACAAAGTGGATGATGCTTAATATATTATGCGAAATGGCTCAAGTTCGAAACTCACCATCAACAATTTTACAAGGTAAAATTTGAGAAGCCAAATTAAATTAATCTGATGGAGTTGGGCGCTACTTAATTGAAATTGCAAGTTTCACATGAGAATCAATTCAAGATGGGAGCCAATTGAGGTTGTAGTATGAGATGCAATTTCAAGTTGGGGACCGATTCAAATAGTATGGGATGCAATTTCAAGTTGGGGACCGATTCAAAGAAGACATGGAGATCAAATTGATGCAATTTCAAGTTGGGGACCGATTCAAAGAAGACATGGAGATAAGACATGGAGATCAAATTGAATTGAGATGAAATTCAATACCAGGAGAAGTCTGGGAGCCAATTTCGAAGTCAAAGTCAACAATTCATCAATACCAGGAGAAGTCTGGAGATCAAATTGAATTGAGATGAAATTCAATACCAGGAGAAGCAATTTCAAGTTGGGGACCGATTCAAAGAAGACATGGAGAAGACATGGAGATCAAATTGAATTGAGATGAAATTCAATACCAGGAGAAGTCTGGGAGCCAATTTCGAAGTCAAAGTCAACAATTCATCAATACCAGGAGAAGTCTGGGAGCCAATTTCGAAGTCAAAGTCAACAATTCAAGTTGGGAAGCAATTGAAAGCACCAGAGCAGTTTGGGAGCCAATTGCAAGTCAAAGTCAATTGGGAGCCAATTGCAAGTCAAAGTCAATTGGGAGCCAATTACAATGGAGAAATTCAATTTGGGTGCCAATTACAAGCCAATTGAAATTGGGTGTCAATTACAAAGGAGAAATTCAAATTGGGTGGAAGTTCAAAGCCAGTTTGAAGTCTGAGAACACCCAGACGTGAGAATGAAGAAGATGAAGATGAACTTACAGTGTCAATTGGGAGCCAATTACAATGGAGAAATTCAATTTGGGTGCCAATTACAAGCCAATTGAAATTGGGTGTCAATTACAAAGGAGAAATTCAAATTGGGTGGAAGTTCAAAGCCAGTTTGAAGTCTGAGAACACCCAGACGTGAGAATGAAGAAGATGAAGATGAACTTACAGTGAAAATATTCTCACAAGGAAAAGTACTAGTTTAACTAGTATGAGATTAAATTGATGAATATTTTTAAATCCCAAAGATACAATGACCACTTCAGAGTTAATCAGAGAAGCCATTCTACATCAAAACTGAGACCCAGATATTTCCACTCAACGTAAAACCAGAGGAATATCAGATGAAGTTTGGGAGCTCATTTACATGGAGATGAAGCTTTAACAACGGCTAGCTTATCTCTTTCTGACATTTTTGCAGAAGATAAGATAAGATCTCTGACAAAAGATACAAGATTTCAAAAATGAGAGCGTCTCTTTCCAACGGACAGATTCTCATTACCAGCTATAAAATGATGAAGATATGAAGACTTGAAGATGGGGAACTTACGAACAAGAGAGCAGAAAATTCGAAACTCATCAAGAGATCGAATAGAGCAATTAAGCTTGAAAAGAGCATAGAGCAAAAATCTCATTTGGTACAGAGCATACCAAAAATATTCAAGTGAGAAGTGAGAAAAGAAAAAGAACTCAGAGAGCTTCAAAAGAGAAATATTCTGAGAGTTCTTAAACATAGCAAAGCAGAGCAAAAATATCAAGTGCTTTACTTGATATATTCACAGAGAGAAAACACTCAGAGCTATCAAGAGAAATCATTCCAGAGTGTTTATCTTCATCAAAGAGACCTGCGCATCATTGAAGATCATCTACAGAGTCTCAGAAGTTGGAAGCAAGACAACACTTGTTTTGGAGCAAAACAAGAGAAGGGAGGAAAGTAGCACGGAGCTGTGAAATCCTGGATTGTCACACGGAGCTGTGAGATCCGAAGCAGCAGTGTCGGAGGCACTGGGCGTGATTGGTGTGGGCTTGGTGATCAAAGCACCAGATCACGGGATACGTTTCTACCGGAGTGTGGAAGACGGGGGGAAAGTAACGCGGAGTCGTGAAATCCTGGGATAGTAGCGCGGCGACGTGAAACCCGAAGCAGCAGTGTGGTGTCACTGGGCGTGATTAGTGCGGGCTTTGTGATCAAAGCACTAGATCACGGAAATTCATTGTATCTTGGAACCAGGAAGTGGTAGATATAGTGAATTGCTCTTGGAGACAAGAGCAAGTGGAGTAGGAGGATTACACCACCTCGCGAACCACTATAATTGTCTTGTGTTCTTTACTGCTTTCCTTATTTACCGCTCTTTACATATTCGCTCTACACGAGATATACTGCTCACACAATCTCACACACACTTTATGTTTATTTATTTCCGCTGTGCACCATACTCTAACAATCTAGTTAAGAGTTTTGGTTTATCTCTGGCTTAGCAGTTGTTGTGCTGTGCGAAAAAGTTTGAAAGTCTATTCACCCCCCCCCCCCCTCTCTAGACTTTCACCTTACCTCTTTTGGGACCAACACAACAATTTGATTATTTAAGATAACAGTAAACAACACAAATGGCTGAATTGACTAAACAGATTAACTTGTTGATGACTCGTGATAGTTTGAATAGAGAATTTTGTGCTTTTTGCAATACATATGGTCATAATTCTTCTGTTTGTATGAATGCAGAGTCATCACAACCATCTTATGAGGAAGCTAATTACATGGGATCCAACATGGGTAGGCAACTACCAAGAAATGATCCATTTTCTAATACATATAATTCAGGTTGGCGAAATCACCCTAACTTCTCATGGAGAGATCAAGGTAATGCAAGACCAATGGGACCACCCGGATTCCAGCAACAAGGGCCATCAGGATTCCAGCATCAGAAATACAGATCTTCCCAATAGCCACCTGCACCACAACAGTCTCAACTTCCTGCTCAGGAGAAGAAGCCTCAATTGGAGGAGATGTTCATGCAATACATGGCTAGCCAGGACACTATGATGAAGAAAATGGATGCAAAAATTGATAAGGTTGCTCAGTCCAGCCAAGCATCCATTCATAATTTAGAGGTGCAAGTAGGTCAGTTGGCTAAATTGGTTGCAGAAAAAGATCGAGGTAAGTTTCCTAGTACCACTGAAATAAACCCTAGGGAAGGATCTATGGCTGTCACTTTGAGAAGTGGTAAGATATTGAATGAAATTATGAAAGAAAATGAACCCACGAGAGTTGAAAAAGAGAGTGATAAAGAAGAGGAGCAAGTGCCTAAAGAGAATTCTAGTGATCAAAACCTCATTTCCTCTACAGTAAAACCTTATGTACCCCCCATTCCATATCCACAAAGGTTACAAAAGAGGAACCAGGACAATAACTTTAAAAGATTTTTAGAGGTTTTTAAAAAATTGCAAATTAATATTCCTTTTGCAGAAGCACTTGCTAATATGCCATCTTATGTCAAGTATATTAAGGAAATTGTGTCTAATAAAAGGAAACTGGAAGAGTTTGCTACTGTGCACTTAAATGAGGAGTGTAGTGCTGTTTTGCAAAGCAAATTACCTCCTAAGCTAATGGATCTATGAAGTTTTTCTATTCCTTGCACTATTGGTAATACTGTTATTGGTAAATGCTTATGTGATCTAGGTGTCAGTATTAACCTTATGCCTTTAACTCTTTTTAAGAAGTTGGAAATAGCTGAAATGAAGTCAACAACAATATCTCTTCAACTTGTTGATAGATCAGTCAAGTACCCGCTTGGAGTAGTGGAGGATATCTTGGTAAAAGTTGGTAAATTTTATTTTCCTGCTAATTTTCTGATTCTTGATATGGGTAGTGATACTGATGCATCCCTTATACTTGGCAGGCCATTTTTGTTGACAGGAGGAGTATTAATTGATATGCCTTTAGGGAAATTGATTTGTAGTGTAGGTACAGAAAAAGATGAATTCTCTATCTCTAAAGCTGTAAAATTACCAACTTTTGATGAATCATGTCTTTCGATTGATGTTATTGAGAACCCTTCAGAAGAATAATTCGTTAATCATTCACCTAGTGAAACACCGCATCAACTTGAACTTAAACCACCTTCATTGCGGTTCAAATACGAATTTTTGAGTAACAATGATACTTTTCTTATGTTTTCTTATGCTCATTTACTTCATGCAAAAGAAGAGAGATTGTGGAGAACATTGACTAAAGCTTGGCATGACAAAAATAATTTTTGGAGAGAATTCAATGTAGGGCAAGAAGTTTTGTTGTCTAATTCTTGTCTTAAGCTTTTTCTAGAGAAATTGAAGTCTAGATGGTTTGGTTCTTTCATGGTCACTAAAGTTTGTTCGTACGAGGCCATAGAGATTGACAGAGAGAAAAAGAGACCATTCATGGTTGCTTCACCAAAAGGCAGCCCCGGAAGAAACGGGCAACTAACAGGGAAGTTTCTTGTTTATTTCATTTTCTCATACCTGCTTTTATATTTAACATTGAGGACAACGTTGAGTTTGAGTGTGGGGAAGGTAAAGTTTAGGAGGTGTTTTCTGCATGTTTTATGCAAAATAGACAAAATATATATAAAAAAAAAAACTGCATTTTTTCTGCATTTTTCCTGCAATTTTCTGCAACATTTTTGGCATTTTCTCTATTTTTCTGCATTTTGCTACAGTAAAATTCTGCGTTTTTCTTTCTACATTTTCTGCACTAATTCTCTGCATTTTCTGGGAATTTCAGCGTCAGTCCCTTCATTTTTTCTACAATTTCTTAGCAAATAAAGTTTCAAAAAATGCCATCTAATGACTATGTTGATTGGGAGATAAGTTCTAGTGTTTTGGGAGTGCATAATATCAATGAATGTGTTTGGCTATATGTATGCTTGCATAGAGTTGGTAGTCAAATTCTGTCACACCGTGAGCTGTTGAGCCTAGAGGTTGCCCAATGCAACTTATTTTCATTTTGAGTGTTTATTTGCCCTCTTTGATTGTGTTACTTCTAGAACTTGCTTCATACCATTTCAGAGCTACATGTTATATGTTGACTCGAGAATGATTAAGGCATTAGGATTTATCCTTATAGCCTTAAAAATGACCATATCCTTATACATGTTATATTTCCCCTAGTGAACCATTTTGAGCTTTATAATTAATATAAGACATTTTTCTTCATTAGCCAGTCCCAAAGAACCTTAGCTCATAAAAAGAAGCCTCTTAACCTGTCCTTGGGTCAGTGGATGTCATTATTTCATTTATCTGTGCAAGATGACCAAAAGTGATGAAGCATGAGCGAGATTGGAGTTGAAAAGTGATTGTATAGCTGGTTTGCTTTAGGTGAGGAATTGGTTGTGATCAAAGAAAATGAAAAAAAAAAGAACAAAATGATATGTTCTAATTTGTGGGTTGAAAAATCTTGTTAGCCCTAACTTTTGTGCTCATTTTATTCTTAAAAAGATTTGGGAGCAATGAAGGCATGATAGAAATTTGAAGATTATGGGAAGAGTACTATTGAGGGTGATGTGGAAATGATGAGGTATTTATTCGGTTTTACCAGAAAAAACAAGAGGAAAAAAAGAGGAAAAAACAAGAAAAAATGAAAAAAAAAAAAAAAAAAAAAAAAGATGAAAAAGAGATGGAGGTTTTGAAAGTTGTTTATCAGTGAAAAGGATGAGGGGGAATGAAGCAGTGATAGCTTGTTTTAATAGAGTTCATTGTATGGGTAGAATACGAGTTCTTGCTCTTGTGAGGATGGTGTGTACCTTTCTTATACATATATTTATGAGCGATTGAGTGAACAACCGTGAGGACTACTATTCTCTATTGTCTTGTGTGCATATGACTTTGAACTCTTATGAAGTATTATGTGTTCACCAATTCCCTTGAATTGAATGCCTAGTTGACATGGTTATGGTTGGTAGTTTGATTTCATTGCATAAGTTTGCTTGGGGACAAGCAAAACCTTGAGTGTGGGAAAGTTTGATAAGCTTAATTTATAGGCATTATTTAGATTAATTTTAGTGAGTGATTTGCATAAATAAATTAAGTTTTAGGGTTAATTATACTTAGGAAAGTTAGTTAATTATCTAATAGGTGAACTCAAATCCCTAGTCTTCTCTCAATTGGAATTTTCTTTTCATTAAGTTCATAAATATTATTTTTAATCACATTAATTATATTTAATTGGGATTTTCCTTATCAACAATTTGATTATTAAAGATAACAATTAATATTGTTCTTCGTGGGATCGACCATGGAATACTCCAGGAATATATAATGTGATTGACTCTGTGCGCTTGCAGATTATAGCAATCACACTGATTTAAGCTTTGTAGAACTTCTTCCAAAGAGTCTTATTAAACTCAGATCATCAATGGTGTCTTGAGAAGATGATAATTCAAAGTATTTTCTTTGTAATTCTTGGAGAGAGTTTCTTTATATTTAAATCTTGAAGAATATTTCTTGTAAAGCACCTCTCTCTCTCTCTCTCTCTCTCTCTCTCTCTCTCTCTCTATCTCTCTTTATTTCACATGTAAACAACCAGTATATATATTACTTTGAGTCTTGGATGACAAGTAATCTTGTAGGGATTTCTTGTAGACAAAGATTACTTGCCATTATTCTTTTTTGACAATTCTGACTTCATCAAGAATGGTTTCTAAAACCATCAATATGGTAACTGCATTGCTGGTCATAAAGGCTGCGAAATCAACTGCTAATTTCCAAAACCCGACTGGCGTAGTGATTGTTCCGCGAGATCATCACACAGTGACTGTAACAGACACAACTTGACCTATATAGTTTTGCCATAATAATTTGCCAATTACAATCTGGGGTTTACAAAATTTGAACACTAACAAACTCCCCCTTTAGCTATTATTTGACAAAATAACTCGATAGAGAATAATACAATTAAACAACCAAAAAACTTAAAGCAAAAAGCAGTTACAATCGTAAAGGTAAAACCCCTTCAAAACTAATGTATACTAAAACTCCCCCTCCATGTATACTACTCTCCCTCCATGTATACTACTCTCCCTTTTTGTCAAAATAATAGACAAAGTAAATACCTCAGCAAGGGGTTCCTCCACATTGACCTAATCGGTAGTAGCAACGACTAGTTCAACATCTGACTGATTCAGCCGAAGTAAGACAGTAGCAAAATCAATATGAGCAGTGAATGCAACTTCTTCAATATCAGTCTCTTCCTGTTCATCATCACTCCAATTAACAACACTCAAGGTCATCTTCCGTTTGAGATAGGTAGGACACTTAGATTGTTTGTGGCCATAACCTTCACATTCATAACACTGGATTCCTTTGCTTGAACTCTTACCATCACTCAATGAAGAATTTTTAGAGTGTCTAGTGAAAGAAGACGGGCTGAAACTAGACATTGATCTATGAGATTTATAGCGTCGGTGATTAATAATGTGAGTCTAATCGTGCATATTTCTAATATTAGTTTGATTATATTTGTTAGGCTCGCTTAGGTTCATAGTTTTGGTAATTTAATTGCATATTCCTTTGTTTTATCATTGAGTTATGGTTTACACTTGTTTTGAATGTTTTACGGTGTTTGTTAGTGTTTTTGAACCATTGTAGGACATGAGCAAAGACAAAGGAAGTTCTAGGACAAATTTCGAGTAAAGTGGACCAAAAGACGCAAATGTAGCTAGTTCGACGCGTCTAAAAATTCCAAAAGCCAAGTTCGAGATGCACACAGGGGTTTCGACGCGTCGAGCGATTGCATCAGCCTTCAGAAAAACGACGTCAATCTTCGACGTGTCGAGCGAGCCGCTCGACGCGTTGAAATATTCCAGAATGCATCCGAGAATTTGAAGACCCGGGCTCGACGCGTTGAGTCCGACAGGTTTGCTAGGCTGATTCGTAAGCCGAAGACGCGGTTTTGGCCCCTTTTCGCACAGAATTCTCCTATTTCCTCCAGGATTGGTTCCAGCTATAAAATCCCACCTTCTCCAGTCCTAATATTCAAGCAGAGCTCTTTGCAGACAAGAAAGAGAGAAATCAAGAGCCACAAGTGGTCTTGGGAAGCAAGAAGAAAGCTAGGGAGATTTAGGAAAATCACCAGGTTCATTCTTGTACTCTTTTAGATAATTTGTAATTTCTCTATTTTACTTTTCTATGTATAATTTAGCCATGCTTGGCTAAATTCTATTAGATGTTCTTGGGTAAAAGTGTTTATGAACCTATGTGCATGTGCTCTCTGATTCTTTAATATATTATTATTTGGGTTTTAAACTTGTGTTGCAATTGAGTTTATTATTATTGTTGTTGCTAGTAGTTTAGGGCCCGGATTACTTGTTTCATTGTTTTTTTTTTTTTTTAAGTCTTAACGGGAGTTAGGCATAATTGAGAGTACACACAATTGCACTTGACCTTTGCACCTTGGGAGAGGGCATAAATGTTAGGGAGTTTAATTCTTCATTATTGCACATTGGGAGATGATAATAGTTAGGAATTAATTAAGAATGCTTGTTCTTATTATTATTGGGTGCATATATCACGGGAGTGAATATTCACAAGGGTTAGAGATTACGGGAGTAACTTTATACCATCTTTGCATTCTCACACTAGTTTAAACCTATATTTAATATTGCACTTAAGATAGGCACTAGGGGATTAAACACTTAAATCCCGCGAATCTCATTCTATCTCTAATGTTTTCAAAACCCCGATATATTGTTTTGCTTTACTTATTTATTGCAAATCGTCCATCATAATTATTAGGATAAGTTTCATAAGAATTGGTTAGTAGCTAGTGCTTAATCCCCCACTTCCCTGTGGATCGATTACCCGATATTCCGGGTATTATTTGTTTGAAAATATACACCAATTCAATTAACAAACTCGATCTTCTTTTTCTCTTAATATGATTTTTCTTTTATTTAGATATTAACGACCATTCTTTGGGATGTCGATTTTGCCCCTAAAATATAAAATTCGGAAACATTGCATCGTCAATTTGGCCGAAAGGACTAAAACTGATAAAAATAATAAAGTTAGGCATCAAAATTGAAAAAAATTAAAAT